ATACAACCTAAAGGAAATACTTTATCTTCAACAAGTGTAAGTGTCCAGTATAATGTGTTTTTGCTTAGCTGTTTTATTTTATTCCAAATTTTCTTCTAAATGATTATTGCAGTCCATTCTGCTTATACTGCAGACTTCTGCTATTTATAAGTATTGTGTTTGCATCGTTTTACACAAAACAAAATGTTTTCTGTGTACATCCCCAGCAACGCTCAGTTGCAAGTATATCTGAATGAAAGACTTGTATCTGTTTACATATGGGGTATAGAGAACTGTAATCCCTTATAAATGCATGTGTCATGCTCTGATTGATGTGTGTACCTGTTGAGGGAAACAGTGCAGTGAATTAATCTTTTTTCAGTAGTGAGAGTACTTCGTTTATCTTAATAATATAAACATACTTTGTGTTCATTTATGCTGAAGCAAGACGAGGAAGCATATAGAATATTTTTAGACTTTGAGAAATTGTGAAGTTATTTTGTTACAATTCTTCACCACCAACAACTATTTATTAATTTATATGTTGTTAGTGTACACATTTTGTCTTCTTGTTCGTCATCATTGCTTTGCCTGTGGATGAATGTTTTGCAAGTCACCTGTGCCACACAATTGTTATCTTCCTAATTATAATATGAAGTCAGTTTATTGCCATCTTTTTTTTATCACTGTCCTGTTGATGTAGGTCTTATCTGTTCTAGCATTGTTTGGATTTTGCTACTTGTCTGGTACATCTGTGTTCTTAAACTACAAAATGTATAAAGCGTGATATTTATAAAACGTTCTTTAGTCGTGGTTCTCTGTGGTCGCCGACATTTCAGATCTATGACATAGAAATCTTCTTCTTCTATGGCTCTCTGGTCCGTATTTGGTCCATGGCCTCCTCAATTCTCCTCTTCCATTCGGTCCTCCGTTAGGTCCGTCTGTCCGAGGCTTTGACCGAGGTTTCGAAACATTCCTTTTTACGGTGCAAGGTTGTTAGCCTTGCGACCAACCCCCAACCTGGAGGACCAGGGTACCTGTCTTAGTCTGACCTCTCCCCCTCGACCAATCTGGCTAGGGAGGCCCTACCAGTAGCTCTTGGGGTCACTGAGGTACTCAAGCCCCACCACCACGACAAGGTGCAGGTACCATTAAGTGGGGACGACATAGAAATAGAGGGAACAATTTCCTCCAGAATGTGAAGACTACGCAGCATCACAGTCTAGAAGACAATTTCTTCACAGCTTTGAGAAAGTTGGAATCAGTTTTAACATTTTAGTTTTAATGTTGATTACACTGTGCTGTGTTTCAAATAATGTTTGTGTCTTGTAAATTAGGGTCTGCCTTTATCTTTATTGTGTAAATGTTACCTGTGTTGGTAACAGCTGCTCAGTTTCATTGTCACAGTGTCCTGCTTCATTGCAGTATTTTTGTTTTTTCCCCTTTCTCTGGGTACTTGAATTTGACAAGGTGGTTGTTCCACATTCATGTCACGATGTTCTCTTATTTTTATTTAGGTGGTCACAACAATACCATTCCTCTTGAAGCACACACTGAGGGAATATCAGCATATAGGACTGGATTGGTTAGTTACCATGTTTGACAGAAAGCTTAATGGAATTTTGGCCGATGAAATGGGACTAGGTAAAACGATCCAAACTATATCACTTCTGGCTCACTTAGCATGTGAAAAAGGTAAGAAGTTAGGACACAATTATTGTGATAACATATAACTTGGCCTTGTTCACAGCATATCTTAAAGCAATATAGCTATAGTGATTATTTTTGGAAGTACTGAAATGTGTAGTTGATTTGTAGCTGCAAGCATAATATGTATTATTCATTTGTTTCTTTTTGAGAGTTGTTCAGACTTCTCCTCAGGGCAGTTTGAATTTTTTTCATGGCTCTTAATGCCATTACATCCAAGAGTCCCATTGACGTATGTACTGAAGAGGAGTGTCTGCACGACGAAGTTCCATGTGGTCACTATTCTCCATTCACTCATTTCTATCCGAAGTAGTCACCTTATAAATCCAAAAGGTGTTTCCTGCGCTAATGAACAGGTTTAGAGTGGTTTTACATCAGATGATACCTGAGACATGCCGTACAAAGTATCTGGTAATGAAGTTTTTTCCCCAAAATGCTATCAAGTTGTCATCTCTATCAGCAGTTGTTCTGAAATTGCCAGCCCCATAGTTTTATGTCAGCGATGCAATCACACGTTTATCCATGTGCTTTATAATGAATTTGTCATTGGGGACAAGAATTTGAGAGTATATGAGACTATTGTCTGGTCTTAAGAAATTATTTAAAAACACTGGAACAAGGAAGTGTCGCTACCAGAATTTTTCTTTCAGCTGCTTGGGTTTTCTTTATTTATGTGAAGTTCGTGTGATATGTTACTGGACTCCCCAGTTTTAGATTGCGTATATGAAGTTGAGAAACACGCAGAAAACAATTTTTAACATTTATGAACCCTTAATTTGTTGTTACAGGTAACTGGGGTCCACACTTGATTATAGTTCCCACTTCTGTGATGTTGAATTGGGAGATGGAATTAAAAAAATGGTGTCCTGCCTTCAAAATCCTAACATATTATGGCTCACAAAAAGAACGGAAACAGAAGCGCACAGGTATGTTGTTTTATTTTTATGTGTGGACCTTTCCATTCGAAGAGAAGCAGGTTATCTAAGCAGCTTCTCTACCAACTGGAAAGGAGAGTATTGTAACATTACCAACCAGTCAAGACAGTTAATGAATTGATTGGATTTCCTGTTACTACATAATGAATTTGTACTAACCAAAGATAGACTTAATCCTGTCTTACTGAATTATATCTTTACTTTTGTTTGAGTTGGCTCGTTATTGCCATCCGATGTGAATTTGTGTCTCTTGAGAAGTTATTTTGTCCAAGATAATGTGAGAATGAATATGTAAAACATTTCTGTTTGAGATGTGCCATTGATATTTCAACAAGTTCTCTTAGTTTTGAATTATTTTTGTGGATTTACAGATTTATGATGTGGTTTGGATGCAACCCCTCCACAATTTTTACGCTCATAAATCTTGTTTCTCAAAAGCTGCTGATGCAAAAGAACTCTGTATGATATAAGTTATGTTCTTTGGTCTGTGTGCTGATGTGTGAGTGAAGAGAGCATCGTCACTTCCGAATTATTACCTTTTGTATTTTTATACCGAGTCCTATCACATTTTTTATATATTACGTATACGTAGTATAGTTCTTACAAGGGATGTGTCCTGCGTAAATTGCATGAACTACGATTGTGGTTTTTAGGTTTTCTGTGTTGGGGGTGGGGGATTGCCGACAAGACTTTATAAGATATTCTGTGGTAGTACCTGTGATAAGTCACTTATTTTTATGGTTCTCGTAAGTCTCCAGGTGAATGCTGGGATCCTTAAGGTTGGGGACCACTGCATTAGTGCATGAAAGAAAATGATTTATGATCTTCGTACATAAGAACATATTTTATGATATGTTACTTTTCTTTACTCAGGTTGGACCAAACCAAATGCATTCCATGTATGCATTACATCTTACAAATTGGTCATCCAAGACCATCAAAGTTTTAGGCGAAAAAAATGGAAATACCTTATTCTGGATGAAGCACAGAATATTAAGAATTTCAAGTCCCAGAGATGGCAGTTGCTGCTCAATTTTCAATCACAGAGGTAACATTTTTAACATAGAAGTATCGAAAGGTTGGACTTTCAACTTAACAATGGCATGAATGTTAACTGGAATATGATGCACTGTGTAGCAAATAAAACTTATAAGCATACAATATTTTTGATAGAAATGCATAAATAGAGTTCAGTTTCATAAATCACAAAAAAGTGATATGATGATATTTGGTACAATGTAACCAACCATTCATGTACTGAATATGAATATATTAAAAATGTATTATGATTTCCAAACTTGAGTTGTATTCTGTTTGAACTCATTCCCTGCCTCTAAACTGAATAATCTTTATTTTTTCTAACTTGAAAGTATTGTCGCATTGTGGTCTGATTGTCATGGTATAAAATGTGGGAAATTTTTTTTTATGCCTTTGGTTCATGTTTAAATTTTTGTTTACACATTTGGCCCACGTGTAAGACACTGGGTATTATCCTAAAAAAGAATTTGTTGTTTGATTTGTTACTTTAGGAATCTGTCAAGAACATTGCAATTTGTTTTAAACTTTTACTTATGATTGAAGATTTTATACTTTAAAGATTATTTTAATATGTGATATAATAATATTTCTTGTATCATTGTGCTTCTTCTTGGATTGTATCTGATTATTTTGGGGGTACAGTACATTCCTGTATGAATGCATGTGTCATGTTTAAAACGGTGTGTATGTCTGTCAAGGGAGAAGTTACTGATTCATTACATTTGAGATTCTGTAGTGAGTTGTGGTGTGACAAAAATGGAAATAAACGGGAAAGGCAACAAGTACTATATAACCACATATTTAATTAATTATGTTTCATTAATGAGCTTTACAGGATATTGGCAACTGGACAGGTACCCTTAATGTAGCAATCCTTATTCCTGTCTTGCTGTTATGACAGCTATAGTTTACTGCTTTCAGTTCACTATAGGCTCAAAATAAATATTATTACAAGAGAGTTATTCACTTTTACCTGTCAGATTCACTGGCATGTAACATCACATATCATAATTGGATGAAATTTTTGATTGTAAGACGTCTTTTCACCCTTCTGTGTACTAGGAAGCTAAAGCTACAAATATATCGGCATGTAATGTATCCCTTGCTTGAATTTTCAGCAAAGAAGTATTATATTGTAATTTACAATCATCTTATTGCTAACAGAGCACGCAGAATGTTTTGTCAATGAATGGTTTATGTAGCTTGAAACTGCGGCATATGTGAAAAACTTAAATTTCATTTAGATTATTCCATGTAAAAAGACTTCGTTGCCTGGATTATCCTCTTCAATGGCAGGGTTAGTGCAAGTATCATAAAAACAGGTACAGGGAGGACATGGTTGTGGTAAAGCTCTGTGGACAAGCAGCTGCCCATGAGTAGACCTGTGATATGTTAAGGAAAAATAAAATAGTCTTATGAGATTAGCCTATTGTCTCTGTGTCCACTCCTTCAAATTTATAAACATTTAACTGACTTGTGGGAGAACTGAGAGTACCTAAAAGGAAGGATGAAGATAAAATGGAAGTCATTCCCTGTTGACTTTTATTCAGCATTTTACGCCACGTGCAGGTATGCAGGAATACGTGGCACATTAATGGCAGAACGGCTGTTTCTGTGGCTCTCACCTACGCTACTTTACTGTAGGAAAATGTTTGTACAGGCAACTCTCGGTTTACGAACGAGTTCCGTTCCAAGACGTTGTTTGTTATATGTTTTTGTTTGTTACATGTATATTGCATTCCTGAGCTTATATGTTATACGTTAGCAGCCATTTTAAAGCATTAAAACCATGTACTAAACATCAAATGGTCTATACAATACGTTTTATTATAATTTATGTGTTGGAATAAATACATTTTTTAAAATTTATTTATTTAAATCTTACAATTATGTTCACTATAAGTTTGGCATTTCATTTTATAAGGAATTCCTGTCTATTGGCGACTAAGAAATTTTGAATGAGCTGTGACGTTCGTTATAGCAAATGTTCGTGAATCGAACGTTTGTAAACCGAGAGTTGGCTGCATGCTGTGGCAGATTCAGAAGTAAGCAGTCATAGGTATAGGTATATCAGTAGCTGTTCATTACAGAAAGCCAACAGGTATTGTAATTAACAATTCAAGTTAAAGATAGAAAATTTGAATGTTAAATAAGAAATAAAAGTTCCATTGCTGTTTTGAGTCATGGCAGCTAGGAGAGCAGGTTTCTCTAGACAGAAAACATTTCATAAAGTCATTCAAATATTAGACCCACCGCAGGATGATTACTGAAAATCTGAACAGAATCTTGAATACAGATTGGATGTTACGTTAATTTAAAGATGTGCATTGCAGCATGTACTGATGCAAAGATACTACAGCCCACATGTGAATAAGAGTGGTATCCAACTACACTAATATGTTAATTGTGGTCTTTTGGTTTTGACACACTCTGTTCTTGTAGGTGGTTACCAGTGTTTCAGAGGAATGTGTCACCTGTTTGGGGTGAAGGTGGGGGTGATACTTTCCTCAGAAATATTGGAAACCACCTACAAGACCACAAAAAGTTCACTACCATGAAAATATCAAATCACATATACCGTAATATGAGTAGATTCTGCAAAGGTGCTGTAGGCTATATTATGAATTCAGCTGTTTGGTTTCTTATCCACTGGAAGTATTCCTATTTCTTATTGATTCAAGTGGGTTTTTTCCCTTCCATTTTGCATATGGTAGTTGCTTTACAAGTACCTAAATGTCACAGTAATCTTCCTCTCAAGTCTTCTGAATATTTATACGTTACAACAGATTACTACTGTAATAATGTTTAAGAAATATATTGAGCGTAACACTCAAGAAACAAACGTACAGCAAAATTAAGTAAACCAGTGACATCTTCTGGAAAGAACTTACCAATGACTACTTTGCTTCAAGTGCTTGTTGGTATGGTGAGGCCAACAAGTATTGTAACAATCCTACAATCTGGTAATGCATTTTTGCTTGTAATTTACCGTTGTATTGATTCTGGCTACATTAAATTTGCCTAATATAAACTGAAAGTTTGGCTTTGCGATGTTCATAATTGTTGAAGTATTATGTTTAGATTTGTTTATGGCCTGTCTGCACACAGTTTATTTTGCCTAACTCCATGGTTGGTTTTCAACATCAAATGGAAAGACAAGTACAGACTTTTGTGTTTCTATATGGTTCGATCTCAATGAGACATACCTTAAGTTGCATATTTCAAGATTTTACCATTAATTATGCTAGTGTTTGTGCCATCTCATAAGTTCACATGTCCACCATGTTGATGTTATAGGTGGCAATAGATGAAAGAGTTCAAAGGTTGAGTGACCCACAATGGCATGACATTCATATCAAGTTTCATGAAAATCAATTGGAGGGTTTTAGCAAACACATTGATATGATTATACCTTAATCCTGTATTTCCTTATCAGATATGAAAGGCATTTGACAGGAATAACTGCAAAACATAACTAGTCATTGAGAATGTATGCCCAAATTTTAGTGTTTTACATTTCATGACAATTGCATTGAAAAAGAGATTTAAGAAACTAGTTCTAGAAAGAAGCCTGTTTTCCATCTGTGCTTAATTTTCACTGTTAACATGTTCTTATAACTGTATATTATGTTCGTTATAATAACCTCAAAGTTTTGTAAGTACACAAATGCTGTGATCCTTTAAGTTAGACATTTCTGATAACACACTGCATACTGTGTATAAATACTGAATATACTATTTTATGTCATGCAGCTGCACAGTAGTCTTGCCTTGCATTTAAAAATTAATTTTGTCCTTTTCTGTAAGATTTTGTGCTTCCCTAGACTTGGTGGGGTAGCTCACTGGTCAGATCTGCCATGTTTCCCCATCTTCCCTTCCCAGAACGGAAGTATGATTTGTTCAATGTCTCTTCATAGTTTGAGGTGTCTGCCATAGAGTCTTTGTAATGAGATCCTGTGTAGTGGTTTGCAGGATTAAGAACAGCAGACTTTTTAAATATTTTTACTTCATGTGTGTATATTCAGCCATCCCCTGTGGGGGTTATGTTTCTAAAAAACATTGGTTAAAAATACCAAGTCTTTGTCTGAAGTAGTGGTAAGGGGAACTGCAGCCACTGTCAGCACCTAAGTTGCCTTTATCTTCATTAAACACTAAATGTACATAATAACACGTTTAAAAATATATTAGATGTAAAATAAAGTGGGACAAAAAGATTGTGTTATTGTTCTTTAAGAAGGACAGATGGTTTTGGATGCCATTACAGCCCTTCCTTACCAAATGTGAATCTCTTGGTGCAGAAGCTATAATTTTCCCCCAGGTGTACACAAACCCAGTGGCATTTACAGTGTAGCATCTCAAAAGAAATTATTTTGTTGGGTCACATTTAAAATTTACCTCCATTCTGAAAGCTGCAGTTGTCGGTCAGCCTGTTTATGAGTAGTTTTTCTGAATAGGATTTGCTCTGTGGATGAATTTCTGATAAACGCTTTCATGAACTTTAAGATTCTGTCAAATCATACACTGTGTTGAAGGTGGCTGTTCTCTCAGTTGCGCAATGTAGTCTGATGAAAGTTTACCATTGTTTCATAGGTGCTTGCTGCCTCTATCAAGGTAAAGACATCTATCAGACTACGCAGCACAACAACCTAGAAGACAGACATTTTAATACTGCCTGCCATGAGAATCTGAAATTCACATTAACTGTGTTGATTTTTACAGGCGTCTCCTCTTAACTGGCACACCTCTTCAAAATAATTTGATGGAATTGTGGTCCCTGATGCACTTTCTTATGCCCAACGTGTTCCAGTCACATCGAGAATTTAAGGAGTGGTTTTCTAATCCAGTGACTGGAATGATAGAAGGAAACTCGGAATATAATGAGAGCATTATCAAGCGCCTTCATAAGGTCAGTATACATTGTTACAGATTTAAATTGGGAAGTATCACTGTCATAAACTCTGCTCATAATAAACTAAAAATTTGCTTGAATTCTTTTTAACATGTGGATATGATCAAAACATAAGTTTGCAAGCGAGAACCACACAGTGACCTAATATAATTCATTATGTATTGTGGGGAAGTTGAAGTTCTGAATTAGCATATTGTCTATAAAGTTTATTATTGACTTACAGATATTATTTGTAGTTATATTAATAATATTAGCAATGTTTGATGTTATGAAACACGCCTGTCTTGACAGTGTTTAACTGTTAGAGAGGGCTATTAATTAGAAGCAGTTTCAGGCAGATCTAACAAAATTCATCCCCAGCATTGTCATTTTGCTTATTTTGTATTTTTCTTATATTTATCTTCTGAAGATGTTTTTACTATTCGGGTCATATGTTTTATGAAAACATTGTGAACTTCCTCACACCTTGGAATCATTATTTTTAAAGAATGAGAGTATTTGTGTTTTCTGATTCATTTAATGATGATAAGATGTATCATGTTCCTGAAGGATGATATGTCCATTCACTTTCATCCTTGTGTTGAACCAGAGGCATTTGTCTGAGAATGAGTGAACACTAAACATGCCAATCTCATTTACTAATGACGTGCAAAAGATTACACTGAGTCGAGCAGTTTACAGTTTTAGGTGCTTTATTTGTTGGCCGTGGTATTCGGTGTTAACTGGTCCAGTAGAGGGCTCCAGTACCATGGCGTCCAAATTCCATGTATCTTAATCCTTTTGACCTCTTGATTAAAATCTTGTTTATCGCCAGTGCTTCAACCCACAGCACAACCTCGGGGCGAAGATCTCGGCTGTTTTTACAATATCAACAGCTATGCTTGCAAACACTTTAAAACCTTTGCAGGATTTAACAAGATGGACATGTAGAGGAGCAAACAAAACTCCTTTGTTGTATCAGTATTCTGTGACATTATTCTCATTTCTGAATGTGCTACAGTTTGTAATAAATGTTCAGTTTTGGAAGAATAATTATCAGATAGCTGCATATTCCAAAGAAGAACGCGGTATGAAATTAAACAGACGGCCTGTGATAATTATTCCTCCATAAACACCATAACAAGATGAGTGGCTGTGTTTTTATGATAGCCAGTACCCACAGTTTTTAACTCTCTGTCTCATTTTAATATATTTCTGAAAATTAACTCTGTATTATTAAGAAAGAATAGCGTGTAATTTTAAAATTTATGTGAGATAACTTTCACAGGTGTTAAGGCCATTTCTGTTGCGCCGATTGAAAACGGAAGTGGAGAAGCAGTTACCGAAGAAATACGAGCATATTGTGATGTGTCGCCTATCAAAACGACAGAGATTCTTATATGATGACTTCATGTCTAGAGCAAAGTAAGCAACAGCATTGTTCATATTGTGTGAAGATATGACTGGAGGGTGTGTGAGTTTATTATTTTATAATTTTTCACCAATTTTTGTTAGTGGGTGTGGGAAGAATACATCCCAGTCAGTATGAAAGGCTTCTTCTTCTTCAGTGCATGTTTTATGATATTCCTGTTCTGGCCTTGTATTTTTATGACTCAGTTTTTCTGGGTCATTCTATAGTTTTCTTAATCCAGCTTGTTGCAGGATGTGGTAGTTGGAAGTAATACATCTCATTTTGACTGAATAAATATGATTGAAGTTGGTTCTTAAAGTCAGAATGTAAATGATTCTGTTACTGTGTAATGTGTGACAAAGATATAGTAACGAGAAGATTGTTTAAGCAAGATAGAGGAAGATGTGGCCACTTTACCCGCATTGGTGGAACTTCCAACTACTCCACAGACTGTCACTTCATTTAAGGTGATTATGATTATATTATTTGTGCTTGTGATAGTGTATGTTATAACATCCTTGCTCTTGGCTTCCATGGTTCTTATATATTTCATACATGGTCTTGAGGTGTTCCGTCAGCATCCTTCATACCTCACACACATGCACGTGCACATACAGACACATTTTGCTAGATGTGAATTCTCATATCATGTTTATGATGCCAATTTTTCAGTAGCTGCTGAATCACAAATCCACAAGTTGAAATGTTCTTCTGCATAGAAGCAAAATCACGTTAAACCAGCTATTTTGTGGTGACACTACTATTACAGTTTCTGTGTACATGAAGAAACTGTACCTAATTTCCAGTAGTGCTCATGTATATGGTAGTCATTGTATTTGTACATACGTGCATTGGGGAAATTACTTTTGCAGTTGTATGTACATCGTTTGTGTTCCAATACTGATTCATATGATAATGAAATGTACCCTGTTTATGAAGGGTGGAATGCCCGTTCAGTTTCCGTACTTGTGCTAATAAAAGTGTGATTAACTCTATGGTAACTATACATCCCAGCAGGCAGTCATGTTCTTGGATTCTGAATATTGGGATTGTTGATTTTTATATTAATAAATATTGTGTTATAAGTTTAGTATCATGCCAACAGGTAATTTCTGAGTATGGAAGTGTTTTTTAATGATTCTGCCTGTTACACAAAAATGCTTGGTAGAAGTGACATGAATGCTGAGGACAATGTCACATTCTTTGGTATTTACGGTTGCCACAATTAAAAATTAAATCCGTGGCATAACAGCTCCAGAGAGCCAAAGCCGACTAGCTTGACTGCTGGCCTCACGTTCACATGCCTAAGCAGAGGTGAACGATCATCCAACCAGATATAGGGTGACGTGTGGTCAGCACGACGAACCCCCAGCCATTGCTAGCTTTCCTGACTGGATTACGCTACTCATTGTAGCTCCCCAATTTCCTCACGATGCTGGGTTGGCACCGGTCCCATACACTGGTCGAAAGCTCATGAGAAAATTTCTTATCCCCCGAGACTCGAACCAGCGCGCATTCCGTATCGCCGGTCCGAAGCCTGATGCCTCAGACCGTGCGGCTACGGCGCGGGCCTGCGGTTGCCACAATACTTCTGGGGAAATGTGTTGTCAGTGCCTTAAAGTTGCGTTAATGTTATGAGACAGTGCATTTATCATTGTCTTGTGTTTCCTTGTTTGTTTACAGGACAAGAGAAACCCTAGCCACTGGAAACTTGTTAAGTGTTATCAATGTTCTTATGCAACTTCGTAAAGTGTGCAATCATCCCAACCTGTTTGAGGTTCGACCTACGATCTCGCCGTTTCAGATGGAAGGCATTACATATGAAACTGCTTCTTTGGTTATATCCATGCTCGACTATGATCCCTTTAAGGTTGGTGATATTACTTAAGCTGGTAGAAGTGGTAGTAACTTAAAAATGAAAGGAGTACTGGAAACAGAAAATTACTAGAACAGTTCTTTGTGAAAGATATGACTAGTATTTATTGCTTGTTATTTATAAGTGCTCAATAGAGTGAATCCACAGATTATTGCAGCAAGACCTGTGTATTACTCTGCTCACAGAAGTATTTTAGTGTTTTATCTTTTTAACCAATAGCTTTCATTCACATATGCCATTTATCTCAACATGAACATTTCAACCCCATTTTACCATCACCAGTATCTTTTTTACTAGTGTTCAACCATTCATTTCCGTCAGTTTTTTTATATATATTTGTGTTCTGTCGCTGAAAGGAAAGCTTCCATCCTCTCGGTGATTGTTATCAAGTCCATCACCAAACACTCACCCCAATTAACTCTGTCCACTTCTCTTTAGGTTTGCCATCCCTCACCATGTAAGTATGAAAGGGCAGTCACATTTATTGAAATAACATACAATGGTAGCAAGATGCAGTGAATATGCTAAGGAAGGAACAGAAAACGAGCAAAGCTGTACGTATGCAGTCCACCAATGTATTTACAAACGTAATTACTAGAGTTCTAGGCATAGTTCAGGCCAGTGCAGTAGCCCAATTACAAGTCGGTAGAGGTCAAGTGATATGAGTTCCGTTTTCGGACTAAAAGCTGTGAAGTCACTTTTTGGTCATTCTGTATACCAGAAGGCTAAGAAAGTTTAAAAATAACAACTCATGGAATGCAAGTAAGAGGAATTAGAAACATACCTGTTATTATGGGTGTCTCCTTATTTCAGCATGTTGATTTATTCAGTCTAAACTTACTGCTGGTGGAACTTGAGTCATGCCTCACAGCATTTGTCGCTCATCGAATAAAGAAGTACCGCGTTCCAAAGAAGTTAATAGAAGAGATCGACTCTGTGCCAGAGCCACCTCCGCGCTGTCCATCGGGGAAGATAAAGATCCATGTTCGACTTTCCTCCAACCAGCAGCAGCAGAATATTGGGACAAGTGGAGGCGCTGTCGTAAATAAGGGACTCCCTGTTACTGTCGCCTCAGCTCATGTTGGTACCTCACCACTCGTAAAAGCCCCAGCTGGCCAAGGTGAGGATTGCATGGGTAATGATTTTAAAATTTCAGTGGTTATTAATTTAGTTTTACTTACTGTAAAGTATTTGATATGCTGTGATCATTTGTGTGACTTCTTATGATAGAGAAACTTTTAAAAGAAGTATTCTGAATTCAAAGGGTGATTTTATAACTAGAATATATGCAGAGTGGAGTTCTGTGATGGCACTGCAAGCACCTCTACAAATTAATAATCACAGTGCCATGAGTTTTGGCATGATACTGTTCTTTCCCTTTCTAAAGTGCCTAATTAATTATTGTTTTGTTCTGTCTGTACAGTCGTAGTTAATGTTCTTAATCTTTTTAGTGTGTTTTGTGCAATGCTTATCTGTTGCGCTTTATCTCATCCTGTATGTGGTTTATTTTTGTATGCCTTTTTTGTTGAGTGTGCCCCACAAGAAGATAATAAATCTGGCAAACACAGAGGTCACAGACCAGATAAAGTCATGTGGTCATCAAACAACTCTCGGTAGAATTGTACAGGTTATGTGCTGGCACTCCATCCTGCTGGAACCAGTTTCATCTTCCTGATGTATAAGAGGGTATTGATGTTGGTCTTTTGTGTTGTAACACCATATGGGCTTATAAGTAGACAACAGTGTTTCAGATGAGCATACTGCCTCTATCTGCAGACCTGAGGAACCTCGTAGCTCATAAAGCATAAGAGAAAACTGCCAAATAATAATCTGTATGCTTCATGCTTCTAGTTGAAGAATGTTGGTTGTATTATTTTTTGTTGGAGTACGCCTTTATTTTTCGTCTTTGTTGGTTTGTTTCTTATTCTGTAACATTTGAAAGTAGGCAGAGCTTGTGGATTCATCCTAGTTTTACATTCATTCCATTCATTGATTTATTCATATGTACATATGCGCATACATACGTATATGCGTGCACGCGCACATTCCCACCCACTGGCCACCCTGCCTAACTGCCTGAACCCACCATTCCCCATCTCATCCACTTTACGCCATTCTGAATAGGCTGTATTCCACGTAGAGGGGAGCTACATGTTAACGGCATGTCATTTTCATACTTTGACAGGCATCATATTATAATGAACTCTTCTACCAGCCATTTAAGATGGTTTAATGGAGAAACAACCGTTTCGAGAACCGTCCTCGGTACCGAATTTATAGGACAGGCGGGATCTACAACTTCATTACCCTGAGGATGAGGCAAAAATGTGAAAGCTTTAGATCAGGCATTGTATTGACCATCAGTTAAATTATTAAA